GTGAGGTCCGATAAAACTTCATATTCTACCATATGCGGAATATACGGGAAATTTCGTCGAGGACGGGAAAGATTCGAATGTGTGGCTGTGCGAAGTCCAGGATTAATCATGTAAAGTACATGATATTATCCTGGAGATCTCAAATAAATTGTAATGTGTGCACTATTGCCAGGATTAATACTGTATTCGTCCATGATGGAATAATGGATTTTGGACTTATCACTAGAGTTGCCTCCACGTTTGCTAACGCTGTGCGATCTCATACCCAAAGAGGCATTTTGTGGTAATAAAACATGCATTCATTGCTGTTTGTCTTACGGAGGTACAATTGTCGCTTCCTACGTCCATTTTCTGCGCCGGTTGTGTAGGTGGAATATCTACCTCCTCAATGTTCTCATCGTCAGCTGTTGGGACAGGCAGGTTTTCTTCCTGGTCGTCGTTCGTCGAAGTGTCGTCAGAATTCGCGTTCTCCAAAGGAAGAAAGCGTCCAGAAAGCAAGTAGTATAATAGTTCGAAGCGGTGTCTCTTCAGCGAGGCGTTGCTAACATCCAGGTGCCGACACGTTAATACTTGACGTATGAGCATCCAGCGAACGTAATTTTCACAGCTGTGCCCATGGACCTGGATCGGATTCATCTGTGCGATCACATCATATTCATTCAGTCCGCTGATCTTAAAATGCGTCGCCACAACATTAGCGGTATTCTTGTACGTCGTTTGATTCAAGGGTCGTAGTAAGGGATACGCTTGGAGCTGACGTTCACAGCTACGCAGCACCAGTGAAAACACTCGAAGCTCAACGGCAGCATGCCAGTCTCCACCCCATCTTCCAGAACTTGCTGCATCACACGATTACGGACGGATTTATCTACCGGACGATACTCCTCGTTTCGCGTTGCGCCGCGTTTTTTTTAGCCACACATAACCGAAATCCTGCGAAACGACAGGATGGTTAGTCTTGAGAGAGTCTTAAGCATAACGCTCTTATAGCGGCGTCCGTAAGCCACATTGGAGGAACTGCTCTATACGTCATTGCGTAGGTGTATTTAGGCGTATCCGGGAGGCCAACGATTTTTTTGTGAGGGAATGAGGCTAAAACATCGTCTGTTACTTGAGCCCCGATCTGGTGATACATGCGGGAAGAGGAGAAATTCCATCTTTGATTAACCGTTTATGCATATCCAATCCCAACTGTACAATTCCTTTCAGATTTTCAGCTCATTTTATAGTCTCGAATTGTTTCCGAGTGAAGCACACAACGTCTTTGAAACCACTGTTTCCACAGTTTTCTTTGCTTGCTCTAACGTTCCTAACTGGCTTTTGATGGGTGGATTGAATGTCGTATTCCTCTGAATTGTCCACCGGAAGTAACTTCCTGCATGTGTTCAACAGCTTTAGATGAAGAAGGTAAAATGAATCCTGAATCAAAACAGGATTCTTCATCTTGTCTAGCTTTGGCCTTTTCGGGTCCGCGTCTGTAAACACCAGACAATCGCCTCTGCACCTCACGGAGCCCATGTTTATCACGATGTAGAGATTCCAAAACTGCAAGCAATGTAACATATCCAGCTTTCTTTCAGCCTTCCTCCGCGGCTTAATACCACTTTTTGTCCGTACGCTCGCCCGCCACAATAATTTTTTCATTATTTTTAGGAGCCCCAACCTTTCGGGCCTTCGGACTAAGCCGGATCGACACGACACTCTGAGGTGGTTTCTTGTTTAGATTCACGTTAGGGTCGCCATGGCTACCACGTTCATAGACAGTGTCATCCCTACTGGAAATATCCAACTCCCGCTTTACGGTGGCATAATTCTAATCTTGTGGGCCTTCCATCTCAGCAGCATCTTCAACCACTCGTACCGCGTAATCTTTACTGATTTTTCTTCTGGCGCACGTTTCTCCATTGAGTTATGACGAAGTGCAGCATATCGTCGAATTCCGCTTCATATTCTATATCTGCCATTTCATTGGCAATTACATGAGTAGCGCGCACATCTTCTCTGTATCTCTCCGAGTGGGTTCTGACCTTCTTCTTGCGTGATCTAGGGCTTGTATCTACAAGTTTCTCATACGCGAGCTGACGCACTTTCTTAAGTTCCATTGTCGGATTCGTCCATCTAATATTCACGGATCCATACAGGATTAGTCAACATTTTAAATCGATTAGGGAAATTTCTGTATACATCCAGGATTTATGGGATAGCGAGTACGAACCTTTCGTCTATACGATTCCACGGAATAACCGGTCCACCGACGTTGGTATGTCTGCGATAAGCTATTGCATGGCGACACAGTAGGCGCATCGACCTCGAAATATCACAGTCGCAATTTCATTCATTGACACGTAGACGATGCTCCTCGAAGAGACCTTGGACTTTAGCGACACAGGAATCCTGTAGGTCCTCTTCGAAGTTGTATCGAGAGGACTTTTCCAGGTCTTCAGCATACTGACGCTCGATCTGTCGCGTGACGTAGTGCGTAGTGAGGTGAAGTACAGTAGACATCTCCTCGTCGTAGTTAGAATTGCGGAATTGTCCAATGCGAGTCAACCGATATTCATATTTTTCTGCTTCCTTCGATCAAAAGAAATTAACACCTTGATACACTTCGCCATACTTATCGATCCATCTACT